TTGTTTGTAACACCCTCAGACCGGTATGGGTGATCCGATCCGATCCGATGTGTCACATTAGAGCCACTAGAGCGACCCACACTGAAAAATATGAAAAATTTAGTTAAACATTTAAAACCATCAAACAATTTATAAATGAAACACAAGTTCAGAAAATAATTTATAATTAAAATAGAATTTAACAATGCACTGTAAAAACCAATTTCAAACTCTAATATAAAAACACTTAATAACCTACAATCCCCTTATTTACATGTGTCGTACTCTGCAAGCAACGCCAATATAACTCCTATACTGATGTCGATTAAAGTATTGAATCAAATCCTTTAACCTAAAAAGGGGTAAGTAACAAAGTGAGCTTTAGGAAACTCAGTAATACAGAACTACCAGATGAATGTAATAGGTCATCAGGTATATGATAAAGCATAAATTTCCTTAGTGGTATAGACATCATCAGATTCTAGCGGTGAGTTCAGATTCCATTAGCTAAGTCTTCATCTACAAATAAGATTTTACAGTCTGAATGAATTATTCAGAGAGACAGATTCAGAAGATTGAATTGGGGGAGTCTAGTGTGTTCCAACAAAATAGAGAAATGTGTACAAATCCTTTAAATACAGTAGTGGTTTAAAAATATATTTTAAAACCTCAATAATACCCTCCAACCGAACACCGATATGCAGTTTCCCAGAACTGCATCCATAAGGACTTACCCTAGGCCAATTGGGCATAGGGGCCAACCTAAGGGATTATCTTGGGGCCTAAGAACCTACCCAAGGGAATACTTTTGGGCCTTAGAGCCTACCCAAGGAAATACCTTGGGGCCTCATAGTCTACCCAAGTGTCACCTTAGGTTCGTAAGGATTTACTAGCTTGATCAGAGCTAAACCTCCATACTCCAGAATCCTACCCATACAATATCCCAATAAATCGATTCATACAATAACCAGTAATTTCTATGATCCATAAATCAGGCATAATTATATTTTCCAGCGAAAACAGATAACCATATAGCACATATCATGTAGCCATAGTTCATAAATAGCAAATCAATACATTAGTAAGTCAGAATATCAAACAGTTGAATTATTAAGTAAATCAGTAACTTCGGTAAATCATATTTCAGAACAGATAAAACAATCATCTAACACATAGGGAACACACTAGAGGATCTAGTTATTTTATAGAGGTACTTGGTATTAATCAGGTAGAGAGACACAAAATTTCTGCAAACTGATTGAATTTCAGAAACGATATCCCTATAAAAATGGGAGTTTGATAGCTAACAGATTCATCAGTCATTCAGGAAGTGATTTATCAAGATCATATAGTATTAAGATATATCAACAAGGTATTCAAGAATTATTGCATCAAAATTATTTAGGATTTAGACATTCCTAAAGTGATTCCATCAATTAGGCTTATAAGGGCATTTTAGTAATTTGATTCCTAAGAAATTTGATAAATTAGTTTAATAAGGGTATGCAGCGGTTTATAGAATTATATATTTCAAGCATCTTAACAGGTTTCCAATCGCACTGTACAAATCCCAACAAAGGCGATATTTATCAAGTATGTAGGTAGAGAAACTTTACGAGTATTCATTTCTTAAAACTGATTGCATTATAAAATCGAACTGATCACCTTCAAAACCATCTTTGGACGGATCATGAGGAGACAAACAGATATTTAAGCAGTATTTATTTATTTCTCGTATTGTATAAGTATTAGGGATGATCAACATGCTTAGGTCGTATTCTATAAACCACAAGGGCATTACAACATTTAAAGCTTTACTAGTATATTTAGAATTTATCCAAAGGCATTTGCTTAATCCAAGTCATGAGAGTATTTAGATCATTTTGGTATTCGAGGTAGATTTATTCATTTCAGAGCTTGAGGGTATTCAGTCATTCCAGGGCTTGGGGGTATTTTGGGTCATTTTACACTTTAGGGGTATTTTGATTATTTTATTGTTCAAGGGAATTTTAGTCATTTCATTTCGTCTAGTTTTTCCATTTAATTCAATTTTTTGAACAATTCAAACATAAATAGTACTTTCGATGTTTTAGTCTTTAAGTGTTTGCGGATAAATCAGTAATTCTACGTCTTGTACCTTTTCGGATGTTATGATCTAATTATCAATGACTTTTCGAACAAATCATGAATTTAACAGGTGAAACAATAGTTTATCGGATTAAATAATAATTCTCAAGGTACTTTCACTTATAGGGTCAGTCAATGCCATTTTTTCCTCATATGGGTAATTTTGTAATTTCTTAACCATTTGATTTCGATATTAAAATTTTTAACGATAATAATTAGAATTTAAATATTATGAGGTTGATTTCTTTATCGGTTAATCACTGAACCTAAAATTATTTTTTATTAAACTTCTAGTTTCGTGTAGGAGTAATTCAAGCCTTATTTAGTTTACATACTTTTTACTCATACGGATCGAGTTAGAAATAATTAGATATTCACATTTAACTAAATGTAATCATTTATGCATTAACCAATATCAACACATTCCATAAAATATACAAAAGGTATGAATGCATTACCTCAACTTCTAAGCAACACTGATCAGTCACTTAAACTCAATTTGATCGCTCTCGAACTTGAATCCAACGTCCCGTAATATCTAGAACACAAGGCAAAACAATTTGCGTCAAAAACATAACTTAATTGCGAAAATTGGATCGAATTGGAAGGCCCAACGGTGAAAAACAACTTACTGAGTTTGAATTTAATGAAACATACCTTAAAAATAAACTTAAGACGTCGAAAAATATCAAGATAGATGTTCCCGAAAAAAGTCAACGGCTCACCCAGGCTTGGCTCAGCTCGGCTCGATCCAGGCGGGTTAATCCAGACTAGTACAACCGGTTCAGATTGATTCAGCTGGTCAACACATTCCCCAGGCTAACAGACGATACAAACAAAAAAAGGGAGCGGCGCGTGCGGCTGTTCTGGTTATCGAACAACGATGAAACTTTCCAGATTCGTAGATCGACACCTCGAAAGTCTGATGAATGAGTTATTTTACGATGAAGAGCGACGAAACAAACTCCCTCGAACAACCGAAGTGTCTTCTCTTCCACCCTTCACGACAGCGTCAAACCGGTTCAGCCAGTCAGCACATTCCCAAGGCTGACAGGCGACGCCCACACACAGGGAGCGACGCATGCAGAGACTTCGGTTATCAGGCGACGAAGGAACTTTCCAGATCCGTAGATCGACATCTCGAGAGTCCGATGGCGAAGAGTGACGGAAGAACAACAAAACAAACTCCCTCGAACGACCGAAGCGTCTACTCTTCCACCCTTCACGTTGGCGGTTGCGGGAGAGGTCCAATCGGTTGGGTTAGGTTCGCGAGGCACTAGGGAGCACGAGGACGGTGGCGATGAGGCTTATCAGCGATGAGTTTAGGTGAAAAATACAAAAAAAAAAAAACAACGACCATTTGTTTTTCGACAAGGCTTCGCAACACTCCCTACGACAAACGACATTGTTTCTCGGTGAGGTTGCAGTTGGGATTTGATCCAGTGTTATCGGCGATCACAATGGAGGGAGCAATGACAAACATGGCTGGCCGGACAATGTTGGGTCGACGGTAAACTTAGGGATTTTGATGTTTAGAAAATTGGTATTTTTGGTTGATTCAAAAGGAGATTTTGATTTGAGAATTAAATATGGTACATATATAATCAAATAACATATTAATTTAAAATACAATCAGTAACTTAGTCTAGCGCTAGGGGATGATTGGTCATGCCTCTTAGGTCACGAATTCAACACCTAGTAGCCATGTCTTTTTTTTTCTACGGTTAGAATAGATGGTGAAATTGGTGTTAGGTCCCTGAAATAATTTGGAGTTTGCAGAATGACCCTATATAATCCAAAATTTAGCAATTTGCTCCCCAATTTTCTTTTAAATGACTAATTTTTTTAATACTTATCCATATAATCTTTTAATTAAATTTGGGGTGTTACATTATTCTTCTTTGTTCTCTTATATTTCCTTATGTCATGCGTTTTAGACCTACTAAGAGCACTATCTTATCTTTCTTTCAAAGTCATCATTCCTCTTCCATCTAGATAAAGTTTGAAGATTATATTTAGAATTTATATAAAAAAGAAAAAAAAGTTGATAATATCAATGATAAAAAAACACATTAAAATTATAATTTTAGTACCCTCGTAATGAAGTTTTTCAATTCTAAAAAATCCGGCATGCTTCTTGAAATCTCAACTAAAGAAAACAAAAAATCCCAATTAAAGATACGTGATAATTCTTTAGTTTATTATTTATACAATTATTATTGTTAATTATGTATTACACCATTTAAGGTAATATCATCGCTTCGACTATGAATATATCTATTAAATGATTTTTATTGCTTAAAATTTTATGAAGTCTGGTAAAGATATTTGACTGCTTTGTTCCCTTATAGTTCTCCTTTATAAAGTCGGATAAGGATATCAACTAATAACACTTTTTTTCCTTTTACTTAGAGTCCTTATTTCTCTCTCATTTAAATAAGATTAATATTATATTTAAAATTTATCAAAACATTAAAGTCGATAATCTCAATTTTACAATGATAGAAAAAGAAAAACTCTTTAAAATTATAGTTTTATTACCCTCGTAATGAAGATTTTTAATTCTAAAAAATCCGGCATGCTTCTTATTTATTTGAAATATCGATTAAAAAAACAAATCCCAGTTAAAGATATGTGATAATTCTTTAATTTATTATTTAGACAATTATTATTTTAAAAAAATAAAAAATAATTGAGATAAATAAGGATTTCTTAATATGTGGTATAAAATAATATTATTTAACAAGTAGTAATAATTTGATAATAATACTTATACTTTACCATAAACATTTTTTATGTTTATCCCATTACTATCTCACCCATCTGAGTCATAATCATCCTTGCACACGGTTCAAACACTCTTTCAATTTCGCCTCGTCTCCGGCCACTTTTCATTCCTATATACATGCTCGAAGATTTCTTTTCAATTTCCAATCATTTTTCGATGTCATAAAAAAAATTTCCATTACCAAAAATGACTCCCAAGCATTTCCTACTCCTTATTCTCTTCACCTTTTGTTTGTCTTCTTTCCCATCACACGCTCGCTTCATCACCGGCCGGCCGTCCCCGACCGGTCTTGTTTCTGATGGGATGTCCACCGTCGAAAACCCACCTTACCTTCTCCTCAAACATCTGGTTTCGGCTGAGGAAACGTGTGAGCAGTCGTATGGGTTCTTACCCTGTACCACCACGGTTCTAGGAAACTTGTTTTTGATAATCGTTTATGGATACCTTATGTATTTAGCTGCCACTTACTTGTCCAATGGAAGTGAGCTTTTGCTTGAGATCCTCGGTCCCGGTATTGTAGGAGGATTGTTCTTGCCCATACTTGGAGCTTTTCCCGATGCAATGCTTATTCTCGGTAACTGTTAAATTTTTGTTTTCCTTCCTTTTCTTTTCCTTTTCAGAAACTTTTAGTATGTTGTTTGGTTGTCCGGAAAATGCGAGAAAATTACATTTAGTTCTCCACCGTTGGACTCATCAGAAAAGGCGGGAAGTTGAAAAGTTTAGATCTTGACTTTGTTTTTTCTTGCTCAAGGAAACTGAAAGTTTCGTATCATAAAATAAATAAGCTTTAATGTGATGCAAAATTTAAGCTTCTAGACATGGAAAATTAGCAAAATTCTGGTTCTGTATAATTTTCAGATTGTAATTCCTTTTTAGGTTGTTTCAAATTCCTATACTCTTTTATTTTCAGGAATTCTCTTTATTTTTCTATTCAAAAATCCAAGGGACTTTTTTTTGTTAGCTTACAAGTTTGTAATTTTTTTTTAATTTTTAAGATGGTCAAATCAAAGAAAATTGATAGAATTATTCTAATGTCGTTAACGGTTAACTGTTAAATTTTTATATTTGAAAAATAGAAGGACTGCTTTCTTGAAAATAAAAGTTGGGAGGACTAAATTTCAAATGATTAAAGGGTACATAGACTTCCAACATATTTTAGCCATTCTTTGAGATGACTGTTGGATTTTGTGTTTAATGTTTACCCGTTTAAGATTTTTTAGAACAAAAAAAAAAATTCTTGTTTGATTTGTATTATTATCTTATATTTTGTCATGTTGTATATAATTATTTTAATTAAATTTTCCATAAGAATCTTCTTCTGTATTGAATATCCTGGATACTGATTTTCATATAGCATTATATTTATTTAGACATTTCTGCTTTGGATCATGCATTTAATCTTTCTTGCATATGGATCTGGGTCTGGGTTGGACAGCATCAAATCTTGTTTGATTAGTGACCAGTGGCAGCAGGAGACTTTAAGTCGGTGATTAACGCAGAACCTTACCTTAAATGATTACTTTCTAAAATTTTAGAGGAGTGAATTTATAAAATTTTAATAGAGAAAATAGATTATAAATAAAATATTATCTAAAATTGATAATTTAAAATTTTGCGACTGCCCTCGCCCTATGGTCGTCCCTGCTTTCGGCAACCTTTTTTTTGGACTATTTATAATTGGCATTCCTGTTTTCTTCCAGTGTCTGGACTTTCCGGAACGGCGGAAACTGCTCAAGGCCAGGTCTCCGTTGGAATGGGGCTGTTGGCAGGGTCAACCGTCATGCTTATCACGGTGATATGGGGATCCTGTGTTGTCGTCGGCAGGTGTGATCTCCGTGATTCAATCGCAGTCGATGGAACGAATAAGAAAGGGTTTAGCTCAACAGGTACACAGCTTTGCTTATCATTGTTCTTTTTCAGTTGGAGCTGTAAGTGGTTGAGGGTTGTGTTGCCATGCATTGTGTCCTGCAATGGCCAAAAACATGTGGCTCAAGTAGTCTGAACTCTAGATGTATCATTTAAATTTCTGTAACCGGAACTGGAAGTTTGTCGGATTTTGCAGAGACGGGTGTTAGCACTGATATTTGGACATGCTATGCTGCCAGGATAATGGCTATATCAGTTATCCCATTTCTTATTGTCCAACTACCACAAGTTCTCAATTCAACTTCAGGAAGACACTTGGCCGTTTTGATTGCACTTATTGTTTCGATGTCGATGTTGGTATCATATTGCGCTTATCAGGTTAATATCCTTTTCCAGAAAGGAATTCCATCATGATCATATGTCCCAATATTTCTTTTTAACGTTCTTATTATTATGTGTGTATTTTGCAGGTGTTTCAGCCTTGGATCCAGAGAAGACGACTTGCTTTCGTAAAGCACAAGCATGTCATATCGGGAATTTTAAGGCACTTGAAGACGCATTCTCTGGGAAGGCTTCTTAATGATGACGGGGAACCCAACACAGAGATCATAAAGAAGTGAGTTTTGATTGATTAGAGAAAAATACACACTTCGAATTTTGATTCGAGAAAAACTTACTCTTCCCCGTATATTGTACAGTTAACATTTATGTGCTCTGTGATCTACAGGTTGTTTGAGGCGATTGATGAGAATCACGATGGTGCTCTTTCGCCTGCTGAGCTGAGAGCGTTGATTATAGGAATCCAGTTTGAAGAGATCGACTTGGATAGAGATGATGCTGTGAGAAAAGTACTGGAAGATTTCGATACCTCCCTCGACTCTCTCGTTCAAGAGGATGAGTTTATAAGAGGAATCACGAAGTGGATTTATGAGGCAAGGCGAACCGGAGGTGCTTATCCTGAACCTAATGGCGGGACGTTTAAGTTCATCGACGATTTTCACCAGGTAAGTGTAGCATTGATGACTTCTTTATGATCATAACTTGGCACAGACTGACTAGGATTAGTTTTGCAGCAAACAAAGATAGAACATACTTTGTTAGGGCCGGAGGAACAAAGTGATGAGGTTACCGAGAGCGTTGAAAACCCTCGATGGATCTCATTCAAAGCCGTACAAATGTTATTACTAGGTACCCTTATCGCAGCTGCATTTGCAGATCCGCTGGTAGACGCAGTTGACAACTTCTCCGCAGCAACAAGCATTCCATCTTTTTTCATCTCATTCATTGCATTGCCATTTGCTACCAATTCGAGTGAAGCTGTATCGGCCATCATCTTTGCCAGCCGCAAGAAGCAGAGGACTGCATCCTTGACATTTTCCGAGGTTTGTTTTCGTGTCACTCCACTTATTTGTTGAGCAAAGTTGATAATATCATGCGACTGATCATCAACTTCTGATGCCAGCTCTATGGGGCGGTAACGATGAACAATGTCCTCTGCCTATCGGTTTTCTTGTCACTCGTTTACATTAGGGGATTAACATGGGATTTCTCGTCCGAAGTGTTGGTGATTCTTATCGTCTGCCTCGTGATGAGTGCATTCGCCAGCTTCCGAACTACATTCCCGCTCTGGACGTGTTCGGTGGCTTACGGCCTTTATCCGTTTTCGTTGGGCCTCGTATATGTTCTCGATTATGTCTTCGGTTGGTCGTAGTCTCGTAGATTAATGAATGTAACAACTGGTGTAGAGGACAGCTACTGGTTCTGATTTTCATGGTTTAGCTGAGAGACTTTCGGATTTTCTCTTTGTTCAACACCCTATCTAATAATGACAAATTTTAGCTTAAGTTTCCTCATTTGTGCAAGATTTCCGTTTTGTTGTTTTTGACGGTGAAACTACTTATCAGGTCCCTTTATTTTACGGACCAGTTTAAATTAGTCCCTTTATTTTACGGACCAGTTTAAATTAGTCCCTTTATTTTGGTAGAGTTAAATAACTCTGTTAAAATTCAGTCTTATTGATCATTTTTACTAGTATAAGAATTAGATTGTTATATTTATTAATATAAAGATTGATTTGAGCTATAGGAACCTCACCTAAGGCCAAGAGTGAGCAACAAGTCGGTTAAATTGGATTTAACTGAACAATCGAACTAATTTAACTGAAAGAAGTTTAGTTTATTTGATTCTTGACATAATGTTATTTTATTAATCTAGGGTAAGTATAAAATAATATTTATTTAAAGATAATTCTCAACTATTTAATATTAAGGGTAAAGTATAGTAATGGTCACTGAACATTTCTGAAGCTTGCATTTAGGACCAAATTGATAGCATATATAAATAATTAGGTGGTGACATGTGTCACCAATGACACGTGTCATGATCATGTGCTAACACATGTCAGATCCTAATTAAATGATTAATTTATTAAATTCTATTTAATTTAGGACCAAATTGATTATATAAATAATAAAGACTGAATGTATAATAATGTCAATTCCTTTTAACTGCCACTTCATCATTTGTATCAATTGGTAACGACTAGTGGCTTAGTTAAAACAGTTAAATAATTATGTTGTATGATTGATAAATTTAAAAGATCGATGACAAAAGTAAAAAGGGTTAGATAGTTAAGTTGTCAACCTAGTAGTTTACACTTTTATTTATACGTCAAAATAACATTTTATAAATTTAAAATTTGAATTATTTTCAACCTCTTATATATCCTAACTACTTTTTTTAATTAAAAAATTTCTTCAACAGATAAGAATTATACTATTATATATTTATATAAAAAATACGTATAACATGAAATAAGATGAAATTAAATAATAATAAATCTGACATAATTGAATTGAATTGAATTATTTTAGAATTTAGGGTTTAGAATGAAATTGAATTACTTTGGAAATTGGGTTTAGAATGAAATTGAGGAATGTTTTGTAAGTTTTAAAAGTAGGGGGACCTAAATTCAAGTGTCTGAAAAGTTCAATAACCTTTTATATAATTTACCCTAATTTCTAACGATGATTTAAGTTGGGGACCATATTGCAAACGGAATAAATGTTGGGGGATTATATTACAAGTTTTAAAAGTTGAGGGACCTAAATACATGCTTCAGAAATATTCAGTGACCATTACTATACTTTACCCTAATATTAACGTTCACATAATGATAAATAGCGTAATAATAGTCACTTATTTTTCAATATAATCCAGTGCGGACCCTCTTAGATGTCACCATTCTGCAACTTAGATAATGAAGGGTCAGATTTGACAAAGCCAATGAAAAGCCTAATCATATCTTCACAGTCCCACATGCAAAAGTTTTTTTACCAATCAACTTGTCTGACTCAGTCACTAACCTAACCAACAAACCAAATGCAAAAAATAAATATTTTCACATTAATAATTATTCCACATATAAATATATATTAGTTAGATTTTTTAATATAAATAATTTTAAATTGTATATATCATTTATTTTTCAATTTTTTTAAAATATAACAATTTTTAAATCGACTTTTAAAATTATATTATATAATAATAAACGGAATCATGTGGGAGTAAAGTTTTGATACCTTTTAAAATTTTTAATCTAATTACATTTTAAATTTATATCAAATTATATTTTATCATTTTCTTTATGTTTAAATTTAAATACACATTTAAAAAAAAATTAACTGACCCTATTCCCATATGTAATGGGATAAGAAGAAAGTAAAATAGTAAGTTGTCCCCAACGTTAAGTTGAGAGTATTTTCCGTGGAAGACCTCCAACAATTATTAATTGCCCACATAATGATACAAAAATGGGAAAAAAAAACAAGAGATCATTTCTTTTAGTGTACAGTTTATAGCTTTAAATTGAGATCAACATGTCCAGCAACTTCTCCACTTTTACAATTAGCCATTGTTACTGCACTTGGACGTTCAATTTGCGCCGGTGAAAAGAAGCTATAGTAAGGCCGCTGCAGATTTAATCCAACCCCACCTTGCGTCATGATCGAATCTTCAAAGCTTCCCTTCAAACCCAAAAAAAAAATAAAAAATAAAGAAAAAGTGTTATATATTCAAAAAAAGAAAAAGGAAAAGAAAGATCAAATAAGCATAAAATTAAATGAAAAAGAAGATGGAGATGATCTCACTTGATGATAAGCTAATGAATCGAGGTCTGGCAATTCACAAGGGATTGAATTTGATAGAGACTGCTTGGATTTTGAGGTTGAACACATTGGTGGTGTTGTTGGAGGGGCTAATGTGAGTAAATCTCTGGCAAATACCCCATTTGAGGTTGAACATGGAGGCCCTTCCCTAGTGAGAGATTGAACAAATATGAAAAAAGTTATTATAGATCAGAAAAGATCTAAAAAGAAGTTCGGGGTTCGAATTTTTTAAATTGATGTCTATGATGTTACGACGATAGAACGTGAAATTCGGACCTGAAACTCGAGATGTTGGATGTGGTAGCTTTGCTAATCAAAGTAGCTTCAACTTGTCCATTGATGGAGTGAACAATGGGAGGATAATTTTTTTTTGGGGAAGAGGGGGCCTGGAACATTGTCTAAGGAGAAAGGGGATGGTCTCTTCATGCCAATCACCTACATAAACAGTTATTATAAGACTCGAAATATGTACGCGTGTATATATGTATGTATGCATGTATACCTTGTCCTCTTCAGGCAATAAAGGTTTAAAATTTTTATAATAGCTTTGGTTTGAAGGGAGCTCCATCTGAAAATTCATTACAGATGTTGATGATGTTCTTGATGACAAATTCACCTGCATATAAAAAAACATTAATTCACCCTAATTTTCATTAATTACACCAACAAATCAATGTAATTTCCACCATTGAAAATGAAGATTGTTGTCCCCTTTGCATCAGACTAGGCAAAGGACAAAGTGGCTCAGTTTCACGAGGCATCAAACCCCAAGATTTATGACCATTAACGCCTGTCAATGGAACACCACCAGTGTTCCCATTACAGACAGCAGAAAAAGGTGGCCTAAAGACTGAACTACTGGAAATTGATACATCGGCAGCAGCAATCAGATAAGCTGAATCTTTCTTTTGTTGTTCTTCTAATCTCATCTTCTCGAGCTGTGCCACACCGAGCCCTCTCTGTGGTAATTTTCTAGGCCTTTCCTTCTTGGAAGATCTACAGATATTGCTGTTGTTTCCACTGCTGGTGGTACACCTTGGGGTTGTTTGATCTTCTTCAACCATTGTTTTCACTAACTTCCAAGTTCCATACAAAAAAACACCACAAAAAAGACTTAAATTTTGAAGTTTAGAGAAACACCCAAAGCTTAGAAGCTTGTCAAGAACAAGATGTTAACAATTCCCAGCAAACCCTGGTTGAGTCCCATGCATGCTACTGTTTATATAAACGAAGAGAGAGAAAAGGGAAATCTTTGAAATCGAAATATATCGAGGATAAGAGTTGAGGGAAAATCTAGAGAAAATTTACAAAGTTTAGAAGAAAAAGATACCCAAAATCTCGCAGATATTGGGAGTCAAGAGATCAAACAAACCCCAAAGGCTTAGCCATTAGCCAAGTTTTCACCTAACATGTATATATTGAAAGAGAGAGATCACTATCTATAAGGTTTCTGATTCTATTGATTATATCAAAAGATCTATACTTTAAATTCAATTATTTTTATTATTATTTTCAAAATTCAATGCAAATCTTTAGAATACTATATATGAATGTGTGCAAATCTTTTACTATATATATATATATATATCAAAATCAAATTATTTTTTTGGTATATATTTTTTACTAAATTAAATGTTTATATAATAATTTATTTAAAAATTCATTGCATTTTCTATTTTTTAAAAAAGTTTTATATTTAACTTATGTGTATGTATAAACTTGAGCAGAATGAAAATTTAGTGATCATTGTTTGGAGATTATAAGTTTAAACACTAAATATTAATTAAAAATTAAAATTAAATTATTAAAAATATAAATAGTTTATTTTAAGAAAAAAGAAAAGAAAAATCGAAGATAGAGATCAAATAAGCAAATTCTATCCAAAACTTTACATTTTGGACCCACCTTAGCTAAGAGAATTGTTATTTTTAACATTTATTTTCAAAAAGAAAGAGCTAAAATAATTTTCCAATAAAACCCATTTTCCAAATGCAAAGTCATTATATCCCCTAATTTCATGGATGACAGCATGCTTCTTTGTCATATAACATGCCAAGATTTTTGTTACATATTACAAAAATGTTAGGGTCCCCCCTCCCCCATTTAGGGCATCTATCATTAAGATTCTCTTTCACCATATTCTTATATATATACTTCTTTAGTTTTGATTTTTTTTCTATAATTTATAGAAAATTGGCAAGTGTATGTGAATTGACATCAAAGTCTCAACAATAATTGAAGATGTTTTGGCCCCTCTTGCCTTAAAATACACTCATTTTTGTGGACCTAATAAGAAGTTTATTGATACTAAAAAATAAAATACATTAAAAATGTTTTTCAAATTACAAAATACGATATAGCACATTCAACCCATTGATCAAACTATTCATATTTGTTTTTTTATATTTTTTTAAGTCGTGAATTCTAAACCTAATAAGAACACTCACTTCCTTCTCTTACAATCTCCCTTCCCCATCCCCTCTAGATAAGATTAGAATTAAATTTAAATTTGTCAAAGAAAAATAATGATATAAAAATATATTTTTATATTTTATTTTATCTACATGTAAAAAAAAACATAATTTATTTAATTTGATCTCTCAATATAACTATTTAAATTTTAAAAACAAATATAATATATTTAAATTCATGAAATTTTAAAGTTATAAATCAAGCTCGTATATAATTTTATTAAAAATATATTGAAAAAATGATCACAACTAGTGAAAAAGACGTCAATGATATGGACTACTTTTGATAAGCCTTGCAAGTCGAGACAACTTCAACTAGGAACCTTCTACTTTGTTTTGCTTGGAGAAAGAGGTTGGCGCAGATTAGATTATAGATCAAATGATCACTATAATGAGAAAAAAAATATCCCTTGAAAAGTAAAACACTTAAATTCTCCCTCAGTCCCTTTACTTTTGCGACTCTTGAAGTTTAGTCCCTCTATTTGTTTGATTTAAAAATCAAAGTACAACTCAAATATTGTAAATAGACTTCTTATTACAAGAGAGTGACCCTTAAACATGCATGGACAGTTATTTTTCTTTGGGTATATATATATATATATATATATATATATATATTTGCTTTCCAGGGACATACAGTGAAGAAGCAAACAGATATTTACATTCATGGTGCAATGTCCACTCTCAAATTCAAGCCCGAAGAATCTGATTGGTTACATAACGCAGGCCTAAGCAAAATAGAATGGAAAACCAGATGAAACTTGAGGCCAAACTCCATGAACTAGAGGTAACAATAATCATTATTAACCTACTCTTTTTATTAATCACCTTTTAATATAGTTAGACTTTTGATCTCGATATCTACGAGGAAATGAACAACTGAATCCATCTTTTCACATTAATGGAGAGTTAAGCCTTGCAGATTAGTAATTAATAGAGGGTAGCAGGTAGCAGCTTTAATAGCTTTCAAAGCCATTTATATCCGCTTGCCTATAATGTACACCCCCTATCTTCTGTTTGGCGAGCAAGAAAATAAGCTGGTGATCAATGAATCTAGCATCCTTGGGGTGTTTTGTTTTCTAACAGTAGATTGGTTTACTGGGGGATTGGAGCTGGATAGAGCGACGGGATAGCAGTGAGGCCTTGGGCCTAATCACACGAGGTAGACTCACGGGGGGCAGGAAAGCAAATCAGAGAACGAGATAAAAAAGTTCAGCTTCGGATTAAACCCGGATTTAATATCTCCTTCACCAGAGATTACATACGTAAAAATCATGAACTTGTTATTTCCTTGATACTTTTGCACAAGGTATACATGGAACACAATCATATGCACATCACTTATTAAGAAACCAAGCATCACATATGAAATTAAAACGTCAAATGATTGCAGATTCCGATATTCGAATCTCGGACCCGATTCGAAACCTCCTAGATATCATGTCTAAAGAACAGCAAAAGCACAAAACACCCAGAAAGGTCCAAAACCGTGGTAAAAAACTATAACAGCAACCATAAAAGGTAACCAATCTTTTATTTATTTTTTTGAAAAAGAAGCTTTGATCTTATTATTTTTTTTAGAAAGTCACATAATGCTCCAATTCATTACTCCATTATGTATTAATTATCATAACACAATTATTCATTCTCACATTGCACCATTCAATTATGCAACATCATAGCCAAGCCCCCAACAAGAAACTCCGCAACAATCCAACCCGCCCTCCCCCTCAAAATTTATACCTAGTGTGGTTTCAAAGATCTCGACTTTAACATCTCACTATAATAAAAAAATCCTAGATTTTACTATAAAATTGTATGAAAAAAATTTCAGGTACGATACCTTTTTATTGTTTTATTGGTGTTACTATAAAAAAACAAGTCTTAAAATGAGTACTCCACAGCCAACAACCATACAGCAAATATCAATAGAAGCCAAGGTATACATACATGCATTATTGGTATCATAATTTTATGGTGAAAAAGAAAAATAAAAATTTCCAGCTAGACTGAAGGGGACCATTTACAGATTGGCAAAATACCAAAATTTTGGTGGCATCTAATTTCTACAGTGTATTCTACTATTCAATACCATAATTGAGCTTTTATTTCTACAATCATACCATTCCCCTCTTTCATGGTTACCCCCCTGCACTTGCAGCAGATGGTACTCCACTCATAGCCCCACTTGCTCTATTATGCTTACATGTCCTCATTGATTGCTGTTATGTGAGCTTAGGGTGTCCTACAACCTGGTCTCAATCCTAATGTATGTTCGGGACAGTATTCGGACCTACCCCATCTTTCATTTTAAAGCATCTAGTGGCTGAATTCTGCTAATTTTGGCAATTGTGATGCCTAGGATGGTAATTGGTTCATTATTCTTTTGTTCGATTTTAATTAATACAATGAATCGGGTTCTCAATTCTTTGTTTCTATAAAGTGCTCTTGATTGAAAAAATCTTTCTAAACAGACCGGTATTTAGTAAAATGACACTGAGAAAAAAGAGTTATAAGGGGAAGTTATACATTGTTTTCGGCCAGGTAGACGCTGACGGTGGAATTGGCTATCACTATCCAAAAACCCTACTGTTTTCAGAAAATGATTCCCCTTTCAATGCTACCAGATCAGTTCCATAAGCAATAAAGCAACAAAATGAAACTACTAGCGGAGTTCTCTTTCGTCCACATGAGAAATTGACAACTTCTAAAGAATGGAAAAGACTCTGGATTGCTTCTCTAATTCCGTATCTAATCAAAGGGATATAGGATTCGAAAAGACTTTCCAATATTAGCAGATCAGGGGTTACCTATTTCATGATAATTTTCGAAAGAACAAGCAAATATGCTAAACCGTGTCGGTCCTCATGAAGGGGAAAATCAAATCAGAGTTAAAACAAACTAAGTTCGCATCTTAGTAGCACACATCGTAAACAAATTAACTGCCAACATGAAACACAGGACAAATACAACAAAGAAGGAAACCGGTGTTAAGCCCTACGAGCCCACGAGAATGTAAAATTATGCTACAACACAGTTAACTGACAGAAACTAAATAAAACCGGGGAATGAAAAACCTGAAATCCACCCAGATTTCTTCTTCCCACGGCAATAGGCCATTGATTCAAAGTGAGCAAAATCTTCTCTCGATCCGGTATTCGACTCTCGAATCCATCATACTATCTCCTCATTGAGTTCACAGTCAGTAGTCAATGATCAACGATCAACCAGTGCTGAAAGACCAATCACCTAAAAAAGCAGAAGAGATCGTAAGTGCAATATATGGTACTGAACTAGATGGAAACAAGAAATAAGTGCTAACATGATACAGGGGAAAGACTTTGGCTTTCGTTTGTTTTACTCTATCAATGGTGAGAATCGGATGAAGCAGAGGACAGCTTATTGGCGATGCTGTCATGCTCAACTTCGTCGCCATGAATTCGTGCTGGAATGCGAAACCCAGAGAATACACCAGGTGCGGTGAATCCAATGCCAGATAAAGCAACTTGATGATGGATGCTTTCTGAGATATGATGGTGATGTTGATGGTGTTGGTAATTGTCAGTTCTGGACATTGGCTGGTCTATCCAAGCACGAACCAAGGGAATGTTACTGGACTGAAGGGGTCCCCTCTGAGAAAACAATTGGCTGTTATGGCCAAAAGACTGCGGCAGTGGCTGCGGTGTAGGAGTACCAAAGAGAAATCCTCCTACTCCGCTACTGCCACTGCCAGCACCACCGCTACTGCCGGTGTCAGCAGCAGCACAGCTATTATTCCAAGCAAACAATCTCTGGAGCCTTCCAATCTCCGCCGGATGTTGATGGTGATGCTCCCATCCAGCAGAAGACCCATCAAAACCAGCTAATGGGTTGGTCCCAGAGAATAAAACAGGCTCGTTGTGCTGTGCCTGAGCTGTCGCAGCTTTTGCGTCGTGGTGGTGGTGCAAAAGAATCGGCTCCGGAAACGAATGAAGTGAAAGCCGAAGATCCTGACTGTGGCTACTGGTCCTCGACAACAAATCCGGTGGATAGTTCTGAAACTGTATGGAAGAAGACGGCGTCTCACTCGAAGCTCCCAATGGAAAAAAAGACTTAATGGTATCGGCAATCTCATCAGAGACTAAAGAAGGTGGAAGAAAACCAGAATTATGATTCAGGTTATCTCCCATTTCTTGTTGCTGAAGACTTTGAACTTCATTCCCCATTATAGTAGCCGTTCTCCTCCGAGCTCCCGACCCAGCAGAAAGGTTATCCGCCAGGTTTCCACCATGGTTGATGTGAGACTGATACGGCTTATCATTGTCTGTCGTCGTTGTCGTCAAGTTTTGGTCTTCCTGGTTACTAGGTTTAGCAATCAAAGTCGATGTATTAAAACTTTCTGGGTTCCAAGGAGGTAGCTCAGCGAGCTCGTCAATGGCGGACTTGGCTTTTTTTATAAGCCAATCCACGGCCTTGCTGGGACGGTCGTAGCCGAGGCGGTCCTGGACGTCGTAGAACTGGATGGCGGTGTGAGCGGAGAGACGAACACGTCGGTCCCGAGGACCTTTAGCAGTGCAAACTTTACTGTGGCGGTCTTTCCTTCCGGTTGACCGAACAATGTGACCACCTTGGACCTCAACGATCTCCCCTCCAGAGTGCCTTATCCCCAATCTTGACGACGTTGCAGCTTGGTGGTGGCTATCCCCCATTTTTCTTGCATGTTGTGTCGATTTCGAAGCGAAAGATGTACTGGACGACGGCAAGTACGAGCTCTTCTTTGGTGGCTGCGGGTACTGAGTTTCCAGGCTTGCATACAACTGTTGCTGCCCTTGGAAGATCCCTTTTTGGTTTCTTGCAAGCTCTTCCTCCTGTCGTTGCTGCTGCTGATGATGACTGTATGGATCCAGGCTCGGCTCTTTATGCTTTCCCTGTTCCAGCTTTTAATGGAAGACACACCACCACTGAAACCTGATACTACTGTGGCCTCTAACAAAAGCCACTGCCATTCAATGCTTCTAATTTCACCTCACCACAAACACCCTAAAAAAGACAGCTTTTTTTTCCAGGCTAACCCATCTTTGTACCCTCCTCTCTCAAAAACTCAGCTTTTGGTAAATTGGGTCTCTTTTTTATCTGTACTATTCTATTCAGTAACTAAACTACAGAAATGGTTTTTTTTTTCAACAATTAGCCACCAGCTTGACCAGGACAACCCAACAACAACACAAACAAAAAAAGTTTTCCTTTCTCTCAACGAGGATTTTCTTGGGAAAATATACTACAAACTATAAAGTTCCTCATCACAAGTACTACTACTAGAACAAAAGAGAAAAGAAAATATTTTGTTTTGTGTTTTAGGTGGGCTTATAGCTAAATAGCAAGTATAGGGAAGAGTAAATTTTCACTTTTCTTGGCCTACAAAACCCTTGATGTTGATGATGATGATGTCACTGGTAAAGAAGTGGCAGTGTGTGTTTGGGGTCAGACAAAAGATTAGAGATCTCTCTGTTCATCTCATCAGTATCATCTGCTGCTGTTTATTGTACTATTACCCTAAACAAACACCATTTCAACCAAGCTAACAAAAAATAAAATAAAATCCCACCTTTTTCTGTAATGATAATTTTCTAACCTTTCATCTAAAATGTTATACTTAATTAGTAAGTGGTAAGAAAGTTGCAACCTTAGAATTTTTTTTAACTCGGTTCATAGTAGAAGTTAAAGAAGTGTTTGGTTTATAGTTCAAGATATTTGTCTGGATGCTTTGTTTTGATTAGATCAGATTGAATGAATAGATCCTTTCTTCATGTGCCACCATCACAACTTTTGACAGTGACCCAATTCACAAATTTATTATTTTTATATATTTTTTAATATATTTTCTTTCCCTTTATTGCTTCACTTAAAAGAAACGACATCATCTTTCCCACAATTTTCCCTTCTTCCAAACACCCTTTTCTGGGATTGTTAGATTTCTCAATATAGTATCTCTTTTAATTTTATTTTTCAGAAAATGTAACCTTAATTTTCTTTTTTTATATTATCTTTCTAATTATGTAACATTTTTTATTTTTTTATTTACATTTTTTTATTGTTTTCACTGAGCAAATTGAAGGAAAGGTAACAGCACTTGCCTTTCACTGTTTTGGAATTGGAATAGTTGTCATTGTCCTTTTAAATGCTTACCTAAATTACTTGGCTACCCCTTCTACAATTTCTTTTTGTAAATGTAATATACATATATTTATATTATAGTATGAATTATGCTTTTTAAAATGAAGAAAATGTGTTATCAATTAAAAATAAGTAAAATGATCTTGAAATAGTTTTATTATATGTAGTTAACTAAATATTTAATAATAATTATAACTTGAAAAATCAAAATAATATTTTGTCTTATGTAATTTTGTATAGTAACTCTTGTCGGATGAAAACCGTTAATTGATTAACAATCAACGTATATTCTTAATGTAACACCCCAACCCGTACCCGACTTGAATACGAGTCCGAGATGTCACATTGACATTTTCAAAACCTTTACTCTTGTACAAGTACATAACACTCGTAAAAATTTAACAGTTCATTTCTTTGCATTTGTACTTATATAAATATGTTTAAAATATTACAAAACTCGATCAGAGCATAAATACCTAGTTTACCTACTTTATTTACATGCCAACCTATTTATCACATAATAATACATACTGTGTAATTTACTTCTGATCTGGTCTTTGAGCAGAGATATGTTGTTACTTTGAACTTAGCTTTGATCCTTCTGCTTCTCAGTACCTACGTGTAAATCACTTACACGCTAAGTCATAGACTTAGTGAAGCAAAAACATAATAATAATAATGCATTTCTCATAAATATAAACATTCAATCAAGTCGCATATAATTCAGTATACATGATAACATGAGATAATACAAGTACTTTTAGTACCTTTTTATCGTATAAATACATATATCGAACATTTCTCTACATACCATGGAACACATATACTACTTCACAACCAAAACATACATAGTAGCAAATCAATTTATTTATTTACTCTCTGTAAAGACCATGTATTAGCCCATGTATACTTTTGAGAACTTAAGGTATGTGAGTACATTGAGGTTGTGCACCACTATGCTGTCACAACAGCTCGATCAATGTCCCGAAGGACCAGTCCATAGATTCCGAAGAACCTAGGTAATCAGTCCATATGTCCCAAAGAACATAGGTAAACAGTCCATATGTCCCGAAGAACATAGGTAAACAGTCCATATGTCCCGAAGAACATAGGTAAATAGTCCATATGTCCCGAAGAACATAGGTAACCCTCGACCCTTGGCATGCCAACTATACCCCTAGCTCTCATATCACATAACATGGGCATTATCATTTATGACCGTCCACATTACTTATTCATATTCTTTCTCTTATAAACACATATCTTTTCTTTTCAGTCACGTATCACATGTACGTGTAATCCTTGATCTCATAATCACATGTTCCTTCTCTTCTATCACATACCAAATGTATGTGTAAGCACATATCTAATATCATGTGTTGCATTTTCATGTAAGCATGTAAATCATGTAACATATAAACATACATCCATTTCTATGTACTAATGCATACAGAGTAATCACATAACATTATATAAGTTACTTCTTACCATAGTAACTCTATCATTGACTCATCGCAAGCCAATGTTTGATCAATCACATAAGTACAATTTAAATTGCACTCACCTTAGCCTTGCTTTGATTCGATTATAATCCTTTGATTATTCCGGAACTTGTTTAGGCTCAATATCTACATAAATATATCATTTCAAACAACTATCAGAAGCCTAAACTTTAAACTTGATGTTAATAACTTAAACCGGTTTAATGAATCGAATTCTGAATTTTCATTTAGGGGGGAATCGATACCCCCCCCAGGGGAATCGATACCCCCTGAACATACTGGAATTTTTCGTTCAAGAGGGGGAATCAATTCCCATTCATAGGGTATCGGTTCCCTCTACCCAGAAATTGTATTCTAAGCTCGAAAATCATCAATTTTCAACTCAAACCTTCCTATTTTACTTCCTTTAATACTCCTAACTTTAATACACATACTTAAACTTATTTCTATTCCATAATCACTTCTTTAACTTCAAATCTAGTCATTCCTATGTAATTACAAAAATTCTACTAGTTTTGCAACATGTTCAAATTCCTATTCTAACACTTCATATCCCTTAATTAACTTGATGACAAGTCAAATTCAACTTTCAATTCTCAATATAAACTTTATTTCGATATTTCATTCAAAAACTCCAAATCTTTAAATCCTCATAAACTCTTCATTTTGTTGTTTTAAAGCAAATTAATCATTCCTTAATCTTACTTAGAATCTAATAATCAAAACTAAACTTAAATTTCAGCACATAATCAGCTCAAGAGAAAACTCACCTTTGCTTGGCTTCACACGTGGAGAAGAGAAAATGAAGAAGAAAAGAGAGAAGAGATTTTTCTGGAAAATCTCCCATCCTTATCCATATATATATATATCATTTAATTATAATTTCAAGTCTAATGACCATTTTGCCCTTTAATTCTTTGGATAATTACTATAAACTTTTAGGAAATATTTCTGAACAAATCATTAAACTATTAAACTATTACACTTTAATCACTATATTCTGAAATTTTACAATTTTGGTCACTAACCCGTATTTTGGGATGTTACAAATCTTCCCCCCTTAAGAAAATTCGTCCTCGAATTTTCATTGCACCAGGAGATAAGATATTGTCTACACATCTCCAATGCATTTTACTTTAACCTTTATAAAATCCATATAATGTAACTCATTATATAGACAGTAACCTCTAGTTTCATCACTCCATACCAATAATCCATCTATATTTATTTTATTTTTTTTATGGTTCAGATTCAACCATTCCATTTTCCTTTGTCTTATAAACTGATCACTGATGTACATATTCTTAAACTTTCCTATAACAATATTCTGCATCATTTGATCTTTTAATATTCTCCTTATAAGAATCATCCCCTATACCTTATCTTATCAATGCAGCAAAGAAACTATTCTCTTTCAGAACGATATAAATCCTCTAACATTATAATACTGGTTTATTTCCAATCTTACTTCAAATTCATTGAATAACAATTCATCAATTTAGTAAGAAATTAAATTCTCCGAATTATAATGGGACACTTTCAATATATCTTACTTATCCACACACTGTACCCTAATATATTTGTTACTGTCATATTACTATAAATAACTTCTAATTGAATTCTCAATTCTTTCACCAATTTACTACTAATATATATAAACATGCAAGCCTAAATCAATCATTATCATAATGTATTTATTTCACACTAGAAAGATACCTGCTATTATCTCCGGATCATCAAAATCTTCATTGGTATTAATATTATACATTCGAGCAGTGGAGCGTATTTCTTGTTGAGTAGAAGATTCAGGTTGGCTCCTACCTCTTCCTCTCCCTCTCCCAGGTATCGTAGCAGATCGTTCCGACTGTACTGGTTCTCCTTTCCCTAATGGGCAATCTCTCACAAAATGTCCCATTTCACCACATCGGAAACAAGCTCCGGATTCTACCCTACATATTCCACCATGATATTTTCCACAAGTCTGACAATGTCTCTGTTGGGTTCTGTCCTCACCAAACCCTACTGATTGGGTCTGTCTAGCTTTCCTCTGATTTGATTCTCTAACGGAGGATTCTACCAATCCAGACCTTGCCTGAGACTGAGTACCAGAATCTCTACCCCTCTTGGGTGGTGCAGAACTCGATAAAGCCCCTGTTCTTTTAGATGATTGGGTTCTTTGATCCCCAAACCTTTCATTCAGAGCTCTCTCTAGAGCTTTAGCACGATTTATTATTTCTTGAAATGAGGACAAGTTCAATACTATTAACATTTCTTTCAACCTTGAGTGCAAGCCCTCTACAAACCACTCACACATATCCTTCTCTGTTGGAATCAACTCAGCCGCAAAACGACTTAACTTATTAAACTCGCACTCGTACTCATACACTGTGCGATTCATCTGTTTCAGATTCAAAAAATTCTTGCTTCATTTGACGGATAAATTGGTCTCCTATATACTTATGCTTAAACTCTTCTAAGAACAAAGACCATGTCACTTGATCATTGGTCATTCTCAAAGTGACATTTGTCCACCAAATTCTCGCTTGCCCACGAAGCAAGGAGACCACTCCATCTAACTTCTCTACATTAGAACAGTGAAGTCCATCTAACATAATTTTTACATCATTAAGCCAAAGGTCCGCAGCAACAGGACCTTCTTCGGCTTCACCTTTAAACTCTGTAGCTCCTAAACCCTTCAACTCCTTTACAACATTCATTCTTGGAGTTGAAGTAACAGGAGGTTGATAACGCGTCAATACCGCATCTAATGTTCTAAAGAACACATCTTGATCAGTTACAGGCACTCCAGAAGGTGTTTGTTCTTCACCTTGCCTGGCCAGGGCAGGTGAATTATTGCTCTCAGCGGGCCGATCATCTCCCGCTTGACTTCTATAACTATCATGTCCGGACATCTATTAA